TAGTTTTCTTTTCGCTGATTATTTTTTTTATTTTATTGCTTTTTTTTTTCTCTGAGTCAGTAGAGGAGAGAAGATGGGGGAGGGGGAGGGGGTGGCTGTTAGAATACTAATAAGAAGTAAAATGTGCGTGTTAGTAACAAATCTATTTTTCCCTATTCAGCTGCTTTTCAAAGCCACTCACTCATAATATATATATATTTTTAAAAACTACAAAAACGTTCAGTTTGCGTCAAAAACGCCTGATGTTTGTAGGAGAGCTCTCCCAGACATCAACCATATTCAAGCACTGATTTTATCATAATATTGAGACATCATAACTTCGACATGATAAGTCAAGGACATTCATCAGCTGTCTGGAAACGATCGCAAAAACGTCAATAAACGAAAAATTAAAACCAAAATAATCACATGCACAGACCAAATGATCAAACTCTAATGAGAAATTAAGTCAAAATTAATTGAAAAGCTTAGAGATATTGTTAAATAGAAGGTTAATGAGTTGCCTTGATGAGCAAAACTCAAATGAATATAAAATATATCCCGCTTGGAGCTCGGAATGTTTTTTTTTTCCGAGGAAAAACGATTGCTTGAAGAAACAATCAAATTTTAGATATATATATATATCATGGATGCTTTTGATCACATAGCATAACGAAGAAACGTCTAGGCTAGAAGTGGCGTGACGTCAATGGAAGTCCAATCAATGACCGTGGAATTCTATATCTTTCTATGTATAGTCTGATATTGAACTAAGAAAACTCATATACGGACAAACTAAGACGTTTGAAATATAAGGCTTTGGGGGAAATGTCTCAAAACAAATAAAGTTTCAATGAAAGAGTTTAGTGATTCTTGATTTAGTTGTATCTTAAAGAAATAGCTTTATAGACAAAGTAATTGAGCTACTTTACTCTGTCACAAAAACGTTAAAACAAACAAAACGAAAGAAAGATGAAAGCTATAGTAATGACGCTTGCCCTATGAACTTTTGAAATTGCAAACTATATAAACTAGAACCATAAAATAAATAAAAATGAAATATAGAGAAATAACCATTTTAAAATAATTTATTAGTCGTTATATACAAAAGCAAACATTAAATTTCAATAAATACTCATATCTGGGATTTGTTATATACAATAAAAAGTAAATAATTTCTTTTGGATAAAATAAAAGCTTTGCGTTACTAAATTCCCTCTGTAAACAGTTGTAAAATGTTCCGAGTACTTGTACGTCTAGTTCTCTTTTGGCTATAACCTCATTGGTTGAGTCAAGCAATCTCTTTTTAAGATCTTATCTACTTTATTCACAACAGCTATTTGTCCAAGAAGAGCATAGAAAACTCCACTCACGTTAACTCCGAACTTGGCCGATGTTTCCGATGCCATAATATTTTGACCTTCTACAAGTTCAGCTACCTGGGCTCTTGTTTTGTCTAAAACTTCTTGGTTAACTAAGTCAGTCTTATTTCCAACGAGAAGTATAGGTACATTTGTCGTTCCTTTGATTTCAATAATTTCTTTCTGAATGCGAAGTGCTTCTTGTAGGGAGCTTTCGTCATCTAGTGAGTAAACTAAGACAAAAGCGTTACCGTGTTCCATAGTTAGTCTTTTCATAGCGGGGAACTGATAAGATCCCGCAGTGTCCATGATTTCGAAAAAGGCTCCAAAATCTTTATTCAAGGTAACTGTTTTTTCATAAACATCTTCGACTGTTGGAATATATTTCTGTGGAAAATAGTCTCTCACAAATCGCATAACCAGTGAAGTTTTCCCAACTCCACCAGCTCCAAGGATTACAACTTTGAAAACTGACTGAGGTAGAGAAAGTACGTCCCAGCTATATTTATGTTTCTTCGTCCGGAGACTTTGTAATCTTGACTTCATTGTTATAGACTTGTCAAAAAATGTCCACATATGATTTGTAGTTGTCCTAGCGATATTGAAAATCTTGAATCAATCTCTCCAATAGTAGTCTTCCAGATATTTGGTCTTCGTTTTTGACCTTAGCTGTAAATATTCTCTTCGGTACACGTTGTCCTTGAACGTTGCTCAACAAAATCTTTTCTATCTCATGTGCGTAGGAATATTCAATAGACTGTATTAGCTCCGCTTTGACGACTGTCTTTTATAACGAGAACCGGAAAAAATCTCAGGCATGTAATGCGGATATTTTTGGAAGGCGGGGAATTTTATACAACAGTATAGTTTTGTAATTACCCCGGATGACATGATGGCAGCTTAGTAGTTGCAGGGATTTGACCTGCCATCACATGTTAGACGTAAGAAGGCAGGAAATAGTTACCGCAGCTTGAAGCCATCTCTCGCAATATTCTCAACTACTGTTACACTTAAAAAAATAGAAGCTGTAAGCTTATAGTTGACCTAAACTAAAGATAACTCTATAGATTCTAAATTTTTATTTGGTATAGTAGAAACCCGTTAAACAACAAGCTGCTTGAAAATAGGTTTGGAAAAGGAGTAAATATTTTTGCGTGATTTTGTGGGAAATTACGCGTGTAATCAAGGCAATGGGTAATATCCTACACAAACCAAAGGATGTCTCTCAGTCTTTTACGCTTTTTTTGAAATACTTTTTAATAATATTTAAAAATAAATAATACTTCCTATTCTCTAAGTACCACAAGAAACGCGTAACCTTGGCGGGAGATTGGTTTTGCTGATCACAAGAAATAATTTCAACCAAAATGACTATATATTGACATAAATATTGTAAAGGAAATTATTTTTGATCATCAAGGAAACAAATCTAAAATAATTTATATTAAGAATGAATTTGTAAAACTAAAAAAGCAATTTACGAATTGTTTATATTAGTTTTTCCGCTTGAAATCGTGTTTATTCAAGCTTGTCCATGGTCACCCGCGCGCTCACCTCATGAAAATGGCGAGAAAAGAAACAAAAAAAAAAAATTTCATTCGTTTTACGAAAAACATATTAAAGTGCAAATGAACCCTTYGACAATACWTTCAGTACTGGTTCTGCATAAAGTAAATAGTTGATTGGTAAAATATTTCTTGATTTAAGTGATGCGTCTCTAAGTTATGAAGGTTTATACTTCCAATATGTAAATGATGGTGACGTCAGGTAAGGTATTTGAGTGTTTTTGTTGTAACTAGTAATACTAAATGCTGGCCATTTTGAAAATAAAAATTTTAAATAGCTTTCATGTAAACCATGAGTAAAATAATGATGCTTTTTAAATACTGTATCTATGAACCAGTTCGATTTTGTATATTTAATTCAGCCTTAATAGACGTCACGCTCATTAGCATATTGAAAGTATAAACCTTCATAACTTAGAAACGCATCACTCAAATCAAGAAATATTTTACCAWTCAACTATTTACTTYATGTAGAATCAGTACTGAAAGTATTGTCGAAGGGTTCATGTGCACTTTAAAAGACAATATTCTTGATGATTTAAACGGGAGAAATATTTTAAAAATCAGTAATAAATTAATAAACATCTGTTCATAACTGAAAGTTTGAAAAGCTAAGATTTTGAAAACTCAAACTTTTTCTGGTTCAAATTCTGGCTTGAGACGCGAAGTCCTGAAGACAAGACAGTTTTGCAATTAGATAAACGACAAAAGAAATTATTCAAAAACTGTCAGGATGCAGAACAAGTGCAAGTGCTCGTCTAGGGTTAAACCCAAAAACTGGTTTCGGTTTTTTGCAAGACAAAGTAACGAGAGAACAAAAGTTTCTAGCAGGATACATATTCAGTTCCGACATGTCGTCTGAGAGGGAAAGAGGCAAAACCACAATAGGCTGAAGACAATATTCATTATACATTCCAAATAAAGACAAAAAATATACGACTACGACAATGGAACAGAGCATTGTCTGCTCGAGGTGAAAATAGAACAAAACTTGTGCATGATGCAGAATGCACAACTTGCTACACAAATCGAAGACCATAGCGTTGTTACCAAAGATTTTCAGACGTCTTCTTCAAATCATATTGCTGCCTTATGTGGCGTTCAAAATTTGGGAGTTACCGGAATATGCAGAATTCTGGAGTTAAATATCTCCATACTCTCAAATCGACCTTTCTCAAGGCCATGTCTAAATTTAATAAAACGGAAGTGTAATTTTACTGCAAAGACCAGAGGAATGCAATGCGGTTAGACAAAAAAATCCCCCTTGAATCAAGAACGCTCTGTTGTTTTAATGACGGTGCAGACAAATTGACTTTTAAGATGGTATCGTCGTTCTAAATAACGTGTCTTTATCAAAAGGTTGAAATACAAGCGATTAAAGACCTGAATGGCCCAAAGACGTTCAATGGGTTAACTAAGAGCTCAGTCAACATCTACTTGAAGCAAAGATATTTACGCGCACATTGACGCGTGCGGCGCAATCGAGATATTTCCCGCTATCTGTTAATAATAAGAAAGGTTTGAAAACCGCACCTTAAAATCAACCTAATAGAGACCCTGATGAAACCAAAATCTAAAATGTCAATCTAAAACATTATAAAACTTTTAAAGCTGAATAACGTGGTCTTTTTTCACTATTTAACAACGAATTTCATGCATTTTAAGGGCGGTCTTTACGGCGCTGTTTGGTCATCATTTTACACTTGTTCTAACAGAGTGCATACAATATATCCGTGAAAAAGTTAACTAGCGAAATTGTACAAAATAGTACAACGTTTTGTAGGTCCTACGGTTTACTGAACTTACTAGTTTAAGCAAATTGGTGCAATTTCTTACAAAGTTTGTTAAAGATATAGGCCCTATAGGAGAGGCCCTATAGGAGAGCACCTTTTGAAAATGGCCCTGCAATACACCAACGCAATCTGAACAAAGTTTATTAGAATATTAGAATATCGGTATAACACGGACGTTTAACTTCCATGATCAAATATATAAAGGGCGAAAATACTTTTTCAACACCATCTGATTTGACCTGTTTACCCCACTTAAAGCTCAAAAGTCTGTTATAAACAGATCGTTCTTTGTAAACAGATTCTATTACTATGTAAGTAGGATCATGAATACAAACAGGCGTGAGATAGAAAAGTAAAAATGCCAAAGGCACGAGCCTCTTGCTTCATAACCTCCTACACGTTACGTAAGATACATATAGATCCACATTCTTTGGCCGAATTTGACCACGGAATTCTCAGTATTTGAATATTTCTAATAATCATCCTTCTCGTTGATTGAATATAAAGAAATTAGAGGGAAAAGAATCGTGCTCTGGAGTATCTTCTGTGTTACGCAACAGCCAGCATTCCTGCTATAACACGATTTTGTCTACACATCCCCGCCAGCAAGAGTCTAATGTTAACTTGAATGAACTCATTATTAGAGGTCAATACACCACGCTTCACAAATTAAGGTTCAAGTAATTACCGCGGCTCGCCAGTGATTTGATTTTTTAGATTTACAAGCCAGTAAATCAGTTCTAAGTGAAAGATTAATAAACCGCACATAGACCCCTTGCAGGATATTCCCAATGCAAGACAATTCAGAGAGCAAATGAACAGAATCTTACTCTTACTCTTACTCTTAAAAGAGAGGTTGCGCGATACTTTTTTCGTACTGAAGTGCTTGCTCGCTGTTTCTTTATATATTTGTGGGTGGGGGGATTTACGCATCCCCTCCACCCTCAATTATCTAATGGTCCGTACCTAAGAAAACAGGGATATTCAGTTAACTTGGTTCGAATTGCAACGCGAAGAATCAATAAAATACGGCAAATTCCAGAACAGATCATAGCAAAACAAAGAAAGCCTTCTAAAAACACGATACTAAATAAGACAATTTATATAACATCAACAAATAGCGACAGCTATAGACGTAGTCCACGATATTATTGCTACAAAACATGCAAACCTAAACGTAAATCTGCAGAACCGGATCCGAGAGGGACTGAGCTGGAACGGGACCTTTCACCTCAACACTTCTTATCGATTTAGTTCTATAATCAATACTGTCTACTGTGATTATTACGTACTCTTTTTTTTAACGCTTACTCCGATTTATCCCGTGATGTATGCCCTATTTAAAGCAAGCCTCACTTGTTGCACAATYAGTCGACCTATCTGATTTTCTGCAATACTGTAGTGCAATCCTGATATCATATCTGTGTACGTAACCTGTGTCGATGAAGATGATGATAGCATCTGACGTTGATCTACGTCACTTTCGAGTATAATTCTCTCTTGAGAGCAAGACACTGAATATGTTATGCAATTTCATTGCTTCATTTTGTAAGTCAAATCTGAGATAGAAGCATAAAGCACCATATAAACAGCCACATAGTTTAAAAAATAAACTATATTTCTTGCCGTTTGTTTTTTTTTTTTTTTTGGTATAGAAGTTTGTTGGAATTTGTTTCAAAATTAGATAGCATACATTTTGTAATTTTGATAGTTTCTTTTATTACTGAGTAGCTTATGTATATAGCCATATAAAACGCTTTTGGCTCTTAGGAAAAAGCTCTTTAGAAATATAGTTTAGTATTTATGTACTATTTATTTTCATTTTTTGTATTGAATTCTGTAAAAAGCTTCATTTTACATATTTTTGTACATATTAWATCGATTAGTCATGTCTCAAATGAAGAACACCATGGGGTAAATTTGTCTCAAGACCAACGTTAACTTCCGGCTGTGACGTAGACAGGAACTAAATACTATAAGATACTATAACGCTCTTAAACGTACAGTAACAGAACGATATCCTATTACAATAATTATGTTCGTGATTTTCGCAAAGACGTTGATATCCTTTAAGCTTAGTAATCACTATAGCACTGAAAAGGCCAACACTGACGATTCCTTATTACGTATTGATGCGTTTAGTTCCTTATATTATCAAGACTAATTAAACACACTAGCTTTAGACTTAGTAATCACTACAGCACTG